ATCGGTGCATCTCTAATACCAATTCATCCCTCCTATGTATGATGAATAATAATAACATAGACATGTCAGGTGTAAAATACGGTGATTCTGAAATACTTACACTTGCAGAGCATTCACTTCCTGCTTTGAAAGTGCAAATTACTTCAGTTTGCCAAAACAATGCACACTGGGATTGCCTTGTCATCAGCTGAGCATTGCTGGGAAATCTCATGTCAGTGAAAGGCATTTTCATCCCCTGAGATGATGTGCATGGTCACATGTCTGGTCACATGTGCCAGAAATCTAGGAAGTAAAGGGAGATCTAGTAACCTGCCCTTAGTAAGCATGGCCACTGTCAGAAGACTGGGGAAGAAAAGAGGCATAAGATTTGCAAAGAATACAAAGCCGGCAATGATCTAGAAGTATGTGTTTATAGATTGTCATTACTAAACATTTCTAAAGGTGTGTTTGTTGTTATTATAAAGATATGGGTAAAGGTCCGCTTTTAGTGTAAATGCATCTTCTGCATAAGCTGGCATTTCCATTGCTTCAGAATGTTATGTCTTTGAAGTGTGGGGTTAATCCATATGAATCTGAATGTTTGTTTGTTTATCTACATAAGTATGCCCCTAGAACAGAAAATGGAAGTGGTGGTTTTCGGTGATACTGCAGTTGACTCTGAAAACACCATCTGATTAAGTGCTTGACTGTCAAACTGTACAGAGTAAACATTAAAGTCTGAACTAGGAACTCGTCAATCATCCCCATCAATAAAAGTGTTGACACGTGTGACTGTTCTAGTAAATAAATGGTGTCGCTGTGGAAATCACTGGACTCGAGGTTATGAGATCTGTGCTCGCCCAGCTCAGCTTTTGTGCTCTCTGGACCCAGGTGAAGACAACTTACTGATGTAATATACTCTGCTCCCCCAACTACAAATATCTGGAGGTGGTTATGTACAAACGGCTTAAAGGTTGCAGTGGACGGGTTTCTGATTTGTGCTCTGGAGGTGATATGTTTTTCTCTTCTGTTCATTGCAGGACACAGCGGAGATTCCAGATCTTCACTGTGTTCTTCAATGTATGCAGAGAGAAGGATTTTACGGTGAGTACAGACATTCCATTTAATTTTTTTGGGTCGGAAACATGTATTTTGTTATTGTCTCCTCTAGTAGACTATTTTCTTAATTCATGTGATGTTTTAAAAGTAGTAGTATTAAGCCTCAAACACACTGCCACGCATACATGCGCGTACGCGCACATAGTACCATATGCAGCATATGCAAATAAATGGCTCCATACACATAGCTGCGTATGGAGCTGTATATTTGCGTAGCGTAAAAATGCGCAAAAACAGAATGGAACCGAAATGCGTCCGGGCAGCGTGTTTGCGCGCATATACGCACATACAGTTCATTGACATTTCTATTACGAATGATGCATTGTGGGGTTGCAAATAGTGCACGCATATACGCACATACGTTTGTATATTCCTGTGTATATACGCGCATGTACGCAATATACCATTTTGCTCTTGCGTTGTGTGTGAATAAGGCTTTAATCTTTTTAATTTTCATTGTCAAATGCATTGCAGATATTTAACCCCTTGCTTTCCGGAGCAATTTCTTACTATTTGCACACACATGTTATAATTTGACTTTTTGGTTTTTGGCTAGAAAACAGCTTCAAACCCCCAAACTCTCTCTCTCTCTCTCTCTCTCTCTCTCTCTCTCTCTCTAATCCTATTTTAATTGCAGTAATCTATAAAACTAAGTATTTGGTTGTGAGAGTTTAGTCCTCATTTAACTGGTGAACATTTTGTATATATTAATATATATTAAAGTATATGCACTTAGAGGTTTATAGAAATGATTGTGGATAGCGCAGTGTTTTTTGTTTAATATAGTGATTTCGACATTGCATGAAGTGAAACAATAAAAATTAAACATTTCTTTAAATATCATGCCTGGGGGGTCCCCTTAACCACTTGCTGTCCGGGGCAATTTCTTAATATTTGCGCACACATAATAAAATATACATTTTTGGCTAGAAAACAGCTTAAAACCCCCAAACAATTATATATGTTCTGAAAGCAGAGGCCCTGTAGAATAAAAAAATGCTAGTTGCACATTTTTGTGTCACACGATATTTGCGCAAATGTTTATCAAACCGGTATTTTTAAGATAAAATACACTAAAATGAAATGTAATGGGTAAAATATAAAAGATGAGGTCACATCGGGTAAATAGATACCAAACATGTCAAGCCTTAAAATTGCGTTCGCCCGTGAAGCCACAGAAAACTTTAATACCCAAAATTTCCCGTAGGGAGCACTTGAAATGCTTTTACTGCTCATCAGTTTAGTGCTAACAGTGATTAATGGCCCTAAAATTATTGCTCTCACTCCAATGTTTGCAGCGATATGTAACATGTGTAGCGCAATTTTCGTTTTGCACATAGGCGCACCGACGCGTGTTTGTGTATGTATGTGCATGCACGTGGGGGACGGGGGACTTTGAATTTTGTTGTTTATGTAATAGCAGATAGGGTGTGACGGGTCCTCTTTATGGAGACATCTGTGGTCTTTCAGCCAGGAGAAGGCGCTGCTTCCCGAGCTTCTTCTCCTGGCTCTAAGAGTTGGAGAATGTAAACAGTGACACCGGAAGTGATGTAATACATATCACTTCCTGGTCCAGTGATCAGAGGCAGGGCCGTATTTACTCTCTCTGCTGCCCCAAGGCTAGGTTCCTCAATGCGCAACCAGATAGCAGAGGAGGGAAGGTTGT